GTGCTGTACCGTGTGTCGTGTCGTGTCGTAACGTCACGTGCCATGCCGTGTCGTGCCGTGCCGTGCTCTACCGTCCCGCAGTGGTCCATGTTGAGCTACCGCTAGAGAAGTCGACCTAAGGGCCAGAGAACCATCACCGCTATCGAGCCGCCCTCCCACTTTCGCATTAGGTTGCTGCGTATTTCCGGTGGCCAGTTAATGTTAATTATTGCTCGGTTAACATCTCGAAGACCCCTCGGGATTTATTTTTAAATCGACAGCCAGCGGACGAGACTCGCGGCTGAGGGCTTTCATTTATGTCATTTGCGTAAGCATTTTATTCAGATTCTAATTACAGTTCTGAAGTTCCGTCCCGAGTACGAATCCATGTGGTGTTTCGTAATTACGGTTTTGCGGATTTTAGAGTCTTGAGTGCCGATGCGGCCATCTTAGAGGTGCAAATGCCGATGCGGTCCAGGAAAATATGGAAGTATTTAAGGGTCTCGTGACAGACTGTTGACGGGATCGACAGCTTGACGGGCTACGGAGTTAGAGTTCTAAAATTCTCGGTAACATTAAATTGGAGAAGGTAACTGTGAAACATACCGTAAGTTACCGGGAACATTGAGAATTTAAGAGAACGTTAATTTTGTTATTTATACTTTAGGTTTCTTCGTTTAAATAACTTTTTTTTTTTCAATCAACTTCAAAGTTCAAGCTAAAGAGTAATAATTACTATTAGAAAATATTGATTATAGGGTCGTATTTACCTCCAGCTAAAAATATTCACGTATCTACAACTTCACGGAAGATTCCATGCGATTTGTTTCAAATGAACTAATATTTCATTCTGCGACGAAGCGAATGGGAGGTTTTGATTGGCTACGGAGAACGTACAACGGAAATTACCCTCTACGATGTTTCTCTACAGCTAATCGAAACCTCTCGTTCGCTCTGTTGAAAAATTCAAATTCTCATAATTTCTCCATAAAAAAGGCGTCGGAGAAATTACCGATAAATTACCGGGAATTTCTCTTCGTTTCTGACGTAACTTACTGGATTTAGAACTCTATACGGAGTGCGTCGCGGAGACTCCGACTAGCAAGCGCCTCCTCAGGGTTTGTAACGAACAGTCCAGAGCATTCGGGTTTTTCCAGCCCGTCATGGGCCGACGGGCCCCCATGATAGTGGGGGTGCGCTGGCGCGTGGGTATTGTACACCCCGCAAGGAGTGTCTTTAAGGTGAAGTGAAATCCTCCTCAAATCAGTCGATTCGAATACAACACTTTTTTTTAAGGGTATTAGACCAAACTGTCTGAAACTTTGATACATCATTCCTGATCATCTAAGAATTGACCTGACACATTCAAAATTTGGAAACGAAGTGTTTTCTATGTCCGATAGAAAAATATGAAAACACACGCTAATGTTATATAAATATTATAGAGATAATATTCTAAAGTAAACGTGTTGCAAATCTTTCAAATGTCTGGCAAATATTTACAAAATGTACGATATTCGTTAAATATGTAGAAAATATAGGACAAATATTTTGTGCTACTAGGGTATATTAGAAACGACAAGCCGATCGCTGTTCCGACATCCGGTTTGTGAGCCGAACCGGAAATTGCCGACTTATATGAGCAAGCTCCCATTTATTTATATTGCATCTGGGAAAAACGCCGGTCCTGGCCCTGGTTTTGCCAGTGCATATGCAAATGGCCTTAGTCTGAGCGGATAATTTACAGGGCGCGGATTATGAAGGGAAATCCAGTCGCAATATTTAACACTAGATTGCCAGATGTTGGGTATATACCTATTCTGCATGAAATGAGTCAATTTGACTCAAACATCAAAATTGAGTGTAAAAACAATAAAATTTTATTTTAATGAAACTTTATTCAAAACAATTGTTACATATATATTCTGGAAGCACTCTTTACAGTACCAAGTATAATATTTCTTTTGGAGTAGGAAGTTGGCCCTGAGACGTTTTTCAATTTGGTATGACCGGGAAATCTACCAGTATTTTTACCATCTTTCAATGTTTCCCATAATGTCCCGTCAGCAGCCCTATGTGTTGAAATTTCTTCATTATCGGATATATCTGCAGGGTCTAATTCACTTTCGGTTTCAAAATCAGGAATATATCGTACTATTTTCTTGCCAAGAGTTATATAACGATCGCTATCACTAGCACTTGATACACTTTCAGATAGAAAACAAGCTTTTCTTTTTCTACGAGCCGTATGATGAAGATCTTCATCTTCACTGCTCGAAAATTCAATCCTATTACCTTGATTCTCTATTTCATACAGTTCGGTATCGGATGCATCGGATTCGATATCTGATTGGTTTCCTCTTATTTGGGTCAGTTTTTTTCCCAATTCAAGATCTCTTACATTTTTTATCATAATAGTAACCTTCATCTAGAACTAAAATATTTATTTACATTTACGTAAATACATCTTATATATAACTTCTGAAATTACCTTGGTACGCAAAAATTCTTCAAAAATAATGTATACAATTTATTTTTTTTTGTGTTACCAAAAATGCATTATTCTCTCCGATGCCATAAATCGAAACGGAAGAACACAAAGAATTTTTTATCAGAGCTTTCATAAAAGCCTTCAACAAAAAAGACTTGCAACAAATAATTTCACAATATTGAATGTGCAAGTTTGCAATAGATATGTGCCCATAATTATGAAAGTGGTGTAAGTCAAAATTTAAAAAAACAATGAGTTTAGCAGTTATTTCACGCCATATTATTTCAAACGAAATTAATTCAATGTAATTTCGAAACAAAAAATATATGACTTAGACCACTTTCATAATTATGGGCACATATCTAACTAGTAAATTGACAAGTTTGAACGTGAAAACTATCGCATCAGATTGTGTACAAAAAATGTCTGTGGACAAGAAATAAGTTACGTGTGGGTAAAACGACCAACTTTAAAAATATTTAATGAGTCAATTTGACTCACATCCGTCAAAATAGGTATAGCACATATGGATTTTTGGAACTAAGGAGGGGGGAAAGGAAGGAATCAGCATTTGTATACATTTCATAATTTTTTTAAAAACCAACATATGTTTTAAAAATAAATTATTTAAGTTTTTCTATATATATAGCAATAAAATCGTAAATGAGTTAAATTGACTCATTCCGGCAATCTAGTGTTAATACGTCAACGTTTTTATACCGTTTATCGGAAAGTATATGCTACAATGCAATTAAACATTCCGAAATCTAATTTTTATATATTATGTACATGTCGCAGCCGGATTGTACAATAAAGTTAAGTCAACGAAGATTTGACTATTTGGTCGCGTTTTATAAAATGACTAGTCGTTTCATAAAATGCCGGATTTTCAAATCTGGATGCGACATGCACATAACATACAAAAATTATGTTTTGAAATGTTTAATTGTACTGGAGCATATATAATACTTCACGATAAATGATATAAAAATGTCGACGTATTAAATATTTACATTCGTTTACAGTTAACGATGTCTATAATCTGAAAGCAGGAAACATGAAACGTGTATTAATTAATTTAAACGAAATCTATTCTGGCAGGAAATAACACAAGAATTAATTTGGCGAGTTATCACTCTGTAATACTTCTTCCATTTGCGATTCTGAAACATTAAAGTCTGTGAGTTAAGATGGTATATATTAAGATATTACTCCTTGAATTATCAGCTCTTTACTCGAAGCAGTGCAAATATGTGCAAGATTTTGTTCATTATAATGAAAGATTAAAGTATTAACGATAACATGAAATTAATCACAAGGCTCGAGTAGACTCCTAAGGATACGAAAATTTCACTACTTTTTATTGTAAAGAAAAAAAACAGGTAGTTCAAACATATTTCTAACTCTATATACATTAGAAGATAAAATTAATTGCGAAAAAGAAGGCCTACCTGTATGGTACAATGTTCCATTTGGTAACAAACTGGAATTTGCACTTTTTATTTACTTTCGATATCATTATCCCCTCTGTACGCTATTTTCTTTTTATTACATTTTTTGCTTTGGATTCGCTATCAACGATCTCAATACTGAATTTTAACTAAATTCAATGTAATTTCGAAACAAAAAATATATGACTTAGACCACTTTCATAATTATGGGCACATATCTAACTAGTAAATTGACAAGTTTGAACGTGAAAACTATCGCATCAGATTGTGTACAAAAAATGTCTGTGGACAAGAAATAAGTTACGTGTGGGTAAAACGACCAACTTTAAAAATATTTAATGAGTCAATTTGACTCACATCCGTCAAAATAGGTATAGCACATATGGATTTTTGNTCCCCTCTGTACGCTATTTTCTTTTTATTACATTTTTTGCTTTGGATTCGCTATCAACGATCTCAATACTGAATTTTAACTAAATTCAATGTAATTTTCGAAAATTTCTCTACTTTGTTGAATCCGCCATTTTGTTTCTTATAACGTTGACTTCAGACTTGTAATCAGCGGCCCCAAAAATGCCGGAATAGCAAGTTTCAGTACAATTGGAAAACTTTTTTTAGTTTTGGCCAGCATTTTGGGATTTGGCCTAATAGTGCGACGTAAGTAACCCGTGCACTAACTACTCACGAAGCAAAGAATTAGTTGCCGCAGGATACAACAGGTGGCACGATAGTCGGATAGACTGTAAAAAATCGCGAATACGGAAAAACTCATTATAAAGAAATCGAAATAAAACTCAAGAAACTTCTCGAGTGTTATTTCGATCTCTTTTCCACTAAATTCCACTAAAATGGCATATAGAGTATGTTATTTCGTATAATAATTCGGAATGCATAGTGCAACACACAACATAAATTTAAATGAGTTAGGTACCATATCAGAATTCTTTTCTGTCGACATCCATTAAATTTGTCGACGTCTTCTAGATCACCGTAACATGAAACTAAAAACTGGATTAATTATTGGGAAGTTCTTTAACAAATGTTAATGACGTTTTTAATATACCGATTTCTTTCTTCAGCACAACCAAGCAAGGCTTACCAGGAGGGACAGACATACGTCTATGATTTGGAAGGAACTTCGGTGACCTCTGTCAGTGAAGCTCAAGGCGAAGCTCGTCTAAAGCTCAATGCCGTAGTAGAATTGTCTATCAGACCAGACTGTGCAAGACAATTAAGGCTAAAGAACGTGCGCATTAACGATACGGTATGTAACAAGTTCTAAACCGAAGAATTACTTTTTTCAATATTTAAGGTGAAGTGAAACCCCCTTCAAATCAGTCGATTCGAATACAACACTTTTTTTTAAGGGTATTAGACCAAACTGTCCGAAACTGTGACACCTCACTCCTGATCATCTAAAAATTGTTCTGACATATTCAAAATTTGGATTTTTTAACTCCAGCCCAGACCAGAACCAAAATGGCGTCGAGCTCTCATATTTCGATCAATACACAAATATCGAAGGCTCTGATATGAGAAACGAAAGAGTCAGGACAATGTTACGACAATTTAGAACACTCTGGTAATCTATAAACTCGCATTTGGACGGAATAAAGGCAAAAAAAGTGTTGTATGCGCTTCTATGCCAAAACGGTGAGAATACGAGGTCTCGGAGTGAAAATTTAATTGACCTGGAAATCACAGATGGCGCTCGGGGTCCCTCTGCAGTCAATTAGGGCCCCAGAAAGCATGAATCCAGAGGATTTCTGGAGTTTTTTTTCGATTTCTTTATAATTATTGTACGAAAACGACGGGTGGAGTATGCCATTTGGTACAATACGCAATATAATTCGACACAGCTGTCGACATAAAAACAATGTCGGGCAACGTAGGCATTTAGAAAAATCTTCTTTATCGACGTCGATCAAGTTCCTCGACGTGTTTCACTTCACCTTAATGTTTTTTTACGATTGAAATAAATTTACTATAATTAAGTCATTTTTGTACGAAACTTTTATTAAGGTAATTTAACATTTACAGCCAGTAGCCTTAAAAGACCTTGAGCAGTACGCTCTGCAATTTAATCAGCACGATGGCCACATTGACAACGACGTTTGTGCCGAACCTGGGGATTCGCAGACCTCTCTTAACATCAAGAGAGCTATCATTTCCCTTTTCCAGACGGCTGTTATTCGGGATTCTGGAGCAACGACACATCAGGAGGTAACTAAAATTTTAAAAGTTCTCTTTAATATGGAAAAAAAAATGCCTAATCGATTAAGAACAGTATACACGTCGTCGAAGTACAGTATACACGTAGTTGAACTTTTATTAAGTCATAATATTTCGAAATTTCGTATACAATAATGTCCGGGATTTTAATATACAAGTCTACGAATTTCAGAAGGCATGTGTACTTAACACATTCGCGACCGGAAAATTTTTTCCGTTTCAAATACTGAGTAGCGGCGAAAATAATGAAATTCTGAAACTGGTTGCCGCAAACTTGTATCGTGTATCGTCATAGACGTGATTCACGTCAGCGGTCGCAAATGTGTTAAGTGTTACGTCAATTTTTTATAAATGGGTCTCGAGCGCGGAATCTTTCTAGAATTATTTGATTCTTAAATGTTAAATATCTGAGAACCTACAACATGGCAAGAATGTAGTACAAGGAATTTTAACAGAAATTCACTTTTATTAGATTCTATGTAACGGGAGAGAAATGTGCTCGGCATACGTAACTTCTGCTTTGAAGGAGAAAACGAAGTTTTTCTAAAACTTATATATGGCGTTATTGGTACTTTATTTTTCAACTTATTATTCGTGGACGGTGCGTTTAATACGGATAACGTGCATCTTACTTAAAGAGCCATTCATTTATAAACTTTGCTTTTTAATTTAAGACTCTGTATACAACGATGAAAACTATAATTTTATTCATGTATCTTAACACATTTGCGATTGGCAAATTTTTTCAGTTTCAAATACTGAGTACCGGCGAAAATAATGAAATTCTGAAACTGGTTGCCGCAAACTTGTATCGTGTATCGTTATGGACGTGATTCACGTCAGTGGCAATCAGGAATAGAATTTAAAATGACGTGAATTCACGTCAGCGGCAATCAGGAATAGAATTTAAAATGACGTGAATTCACGTCAGCGACAACCAGGAATAGAACTTGAAAATACGTAAATTCACGTCAGCGGTCGCGAATGTGTTAATTTGGAAATCTTTTGCATGCTAACTTTCGACCACATCTTTTAGAATTCATACAATTGCAATTAAGTACAATGATATATGTACGGGTGTCATAAGACATTTATACGAATACTCGGATATTTTTCTATACTAATTTTCGGTCATGTATACATAAGCACACAATTGTATGTATTTTGAGAAAACTGCGTTGTAGTACATTTATTAATATTTGTATTGGTTACTGTAGAAATGGTACCGATATGTTATTTTTTTGTTTAAATTTTTTAATACTTTTGTACGAACTCTCACGTAAAAATGGTATTCTTCGAAATGTAGTATATATTTGTCCGGTTTTCATTTCGATTGCCGCTGTTTCCAGTTTTAGCATACATTTGCATTCAAATGTATTTCAAATATGGAATCATTTTTAACTGTATGAACTTTTCAGTACGTGTACTGACTTACTTTCTCAGATTGAATTTCGTGGTTGAAATAGTTTCTGGCATATAAACTTACTATTGCAATTATCCAAATGCAGTAAACTATTGAAAGACGCGGTAGCGTCTTAGACAAGCTCATTAATTGAATAAAAAAAATAATCACATGCGCGCAATTAAAATGTTTGATTTGTGAATCGGAAGCGCACTTCACTTTCGGAGCATTATAATTTATAACCACTTCTATTAAGATAATTCTTTTAAACATATTGCATGAAATAAGTATTGTTTAGTTCAATAATATTCAAATTAAAATATGAAGTCACTCGAAACGGAAAAATGCAAAATTCTAAATAGATGAAATTTCATCCTTTAACACTGATTCCATGTTATTCCAAATTGTACGGGTTCTTGTAGGAATTTCTCATATTTGCTCCTTTATAGATTTAATTTTTTCAATGATTGTTACAATACTAAATATTAGATGGAAGATAAACAGTGTATTTTTCAGTTTTTAAATAATAGCTATATATCACGATGAATGTCAAATACATTGTAGAACGTGATTTAATTGAGATTAATGTTAAAAAGAAAAATATGCTTATGTTGTGAAACGTGTCCTATTTGAGATTCCTTATTTTTAAACACGAACAACTTTTTCTTTAACTAAGTTTGAAATGTTGAATATAGCTTATTAACGTCAAAATTTCGAAGCCAAATGCCCTTCCACGAATAAACACGATTTAAAACTTCATTTTTATTCAGCAGAATAAAAAATTAACAAATTTAATCTGTTCATCTGAGTTCTACATTTCTTCCATTGACATCAATACAATAATATGAACGTTGCTGATATGCCGTCAATAATTTCAGTAAAAAATTGTATGAGTTAAACCTTACAATAAAAATTGGATAAATAGTAAAGAAGTTATTCCAATTTAAAAAACGGACTCTTAAATAGAACACCCCGTATTAACAATATTACTAATGTATCATGGAATTATAATTGAATTCGAAATTATCCTGGCAATAACTGATAAGTCGTATGGTTACTTACTACGATCTCCTCTTTATATGTATAGGGAGTCACACCGGTCTCTTCTGTAATTAAAACATCACGTGAGTAATAATATATATTTCTTGTAAAATTTCCAGGTGGACGTCTTCGGCGGCTGTCCGACGGACTTCAGTTTCCGCAAAACCGGAGACACCTTGGTGGTCCAAAAGTTCAGGAACCTGAATCAATGCCTCTACCGTGAAAATCTTCGTCAGGGGCTCATCACATCAGCATTTGATTCTCACTCAGACATCAAATCCGTTCCTTTACTAGCATCTCAACAAAAGGTTGAGCAGCAGTTCAAACGTGGAATTCTGAACAAGGCAGTCTCAAAAGAAACATATAACTACAAGCCCTTCAGCAACGGAGATGCAGGCGCTAAGACCGTTGTGGAGACCACTGTATCGTTCAAGAGCCAATCGGCAAGTGGACCAGCAGCCCTTGTCTCGGAGGCAAAGACTTTGATATTCGAAGTCCCCCATCCTGTTGTGAAATCCTCTGCTAACTCTATAGTCAGTGCCCTGAAAGCGTTGAAAGATGAAGAGGCCGATGGTGCCGTGAAACCTCAGGCTGCACGTCGTTTCAGCGAGCTCGTTAAAGTCCTTCGAACCAGCACAAAAAACGACATCTTGTCGGTGTACCAGCGCGTTAAGTCAGGAGCTGGATTTGACGAAAACTCAGATAAAAAGATTCTGTTGGATGCTCTATTCCGCACAGGAAGTGGCGAGGCAGCTGAAGTCTGTTTAGAGCTAATCCGAAACAAGGAAATCACCGGGGTCCAAGCGTTGGTCTACTACAGCAGTCTGGCTTTCCTACGACACGTCAATCTTCCTTCTGTAGTCGCCGTAACGTCTCTTCTGGACCAACCCGACCTCCCTCGTATTGGTTATTTGGGAATAGGCCACCTCATCGGCAAATACTGCAACGAACACAACTGCCGAGATGTTCCCGAAGTGAAAGCTGCTCTGTCTAAGATTCTGTCTAAGGTCGGCAACGGGAAACCTGGAACCAGAGACAAAGAGAATGTTGTAATTTCGGCCATTAAGGCGTTGGGTAATGTTGGTTACTTGGACAATCCAACTATCCATAAACTGGCAAACATAGCCGCTAACAAGAAGGCTCATAACAGAGTTAGAGTTGCCGCTATAGAAGCACTTCCTTCTACCTGCTCGATAGAATGGCAAAACGTGTTGCTTAAAGTAATAGCTGACCGTGAGGAGGACAGTGAAATTAGGATCAAATCATATCTGTCCTTGGTCGCGTGTCCATCATCTCACGTCGCAAATGTCGTAAAGGAGGTTTTGGATGAAGAGACGGTTAACCAATTCGGATCCTTTGTCACATCTCATTTGAGGAACCTTCGGGCTTCCGTGGATCCTGATAAACAACTCGCTAAGAAGTATTTGGAGAACATTAAGCCCCGAACGAAATTCCCGGAAGACTTTCGCAAGTTTTCCTTTAATAACGAGTTTTCTTACCACGCGGATGCTCTTGGTTTCGGATCTAGTGCCGAAAGTAACGTAATTTACAGTCAAAATAGCTTCGTCCCCAGATCGGCAAGTCTTAACTTGACCACAGAAATCTTTGGCCATACGTTCAACTTCCTGGAGTTAGACGCTAGAGTGGAAAATCTGGATCGACTGATTGAGCATTACTTTGGACCGAAGGGCCACTTTAGACACTTTGATCCCAAGGAATTTGTTGCGCACGGTTCGGAAAATGTTGCGGGTATTGTGAAACTTGTTAAAGAACGCTTTCAGAAATCCATAGGACGAGGACGTCGCGATGTCAGCCAGGGAGACTTGGATAAATTTGCTAAGAATGTTTATCTGCGAGGAAACGAGGTTGACGAGGATCTAGATGTAGACTTGTCGATTAAACTCTTCGGAGCTGAATTGGCTTTCCTGTCGTACCAAAATACTGGTAAAAAATGGACAATCGATCGCATAGTAGACAAAGTATTTGATGGCTTCGACCAAGGGCTTAATAAGGTCAAAGATTTTAATTACGATTTCGAGAACCATTTGCATTTCCTGGATGTGGATTTAGTGTATCCAACCGGATTGGGTCTTCCTCTAAGCTTAGGTGTTACGGGTACTGCGGTTGCTCATCTGAAAACCAATGGCAAGATAGATCTGCCCACCATTTTCAAAGATCCAAAAAATGCGGCGATTAGGGTAGCATTGGAACCTAGTGCTTCCATCAGAATCGCTGGAAATCTAGTAGTGGAAGGTCCCGATGCAGAAGCTGGACTTAAAGTTATCACTGTCCTACACACCGCAACTGGTTCCGATGTATCCGTGAAATTCTTGGATGGCAACGGCATCGACGTGAACTTTGGGATTCCTAAAAGGAAGCAGGAGTTGATCAGCATCTCCAGTGAAGTCGTCGTGAGCTCAGGACCAAAAGGAGAGAAGTATATCCAACCTAAGTTTGGCAAAGGCCGGGAGCATTCGGACTGTTTCGAACAGTTCTCCAGCATTTTGGGCCTCACTATCTGTGGCCACATTTCCTATCCCTACGACAGCTTGGAGTCGGTCCAGAAAAGACCATTCTACCCTCTAAGTGGACCAGCCAAATTTTCCGTGAGTATCGAGAACAACGACGTGACCAGCTACCATTTCAAGGTCTACTACGACAAGAAGAACCCGAAGGCCAGGTCGCTAGAGGTTTTGCTGGAGACACCGAACAGCAGAACCGACAGGAAATTACTGTTCCTGGTGGAGGGAGCCACCGAACCAGAGAAGTTTATCAGGGTCTCCCTAGACTCGCCCATAAAGAAGGCGTCCTTGGAAGGCAGGCTCGTGAACAATCCACAGGAGCGCACTTTGACTCTGACGGCGAAACACGATCAAATCGAGTATTTCGTTCGTGCAGGTGTCCTCGCCAACGGGAACAAATACAAACCGGTACTGGAGTACAAGGTTCCGGAACACGTGGAGCGCCTGGCAGGGTCCAAAAGTGGTACCAAGGTCGTCCATCGCGAAGGTCAGCAGTACAGCGTCCAAGGTGTCGTGGACGTGGCCGAGGAAAACAGCGGAAAGAAGTACACCTTCGACAAGGTCGTCCTGCTCTCGGGCGGTCGCAAAGTACTCGGCCTAGATGGGACCGCGTTCTCCAACGCCGACCAGGTGAACGTCGACGTCAAGGTCAACTACGGGGAGGAGAACGTAGCTTTGAAACTGGACGCGAAACGAATCGCAGAACGCCACTACATCCTAGGCGTCTCGGCCCAACCCTCGAAGAATCCTGAAATAGGATTCGACCTTAAATGGGAGTATTCGAGAGACCAAAACAACATTGAACATTCTTTGGTATTCATCCACGGACCTGACCTAACTTCTAAAGTCAATAGGTTGACTCTCCATGAGAAAGCGTCCTTCAAGAAAGATCCTGAACACTTCCACCTATCCGGAGTTAGCGAACTGACTTACCCTGCCGTAGGAGGTGTCTTGAAGAGCGAGGTGGAACTATCCGATAAGTCCATTGAGTTTGATGTCGAAGTTAAGTATGAAAAGTTCAAGTTTGGATCGGAACTTTCTGCCAAACGCGACATATCCAAGCCTGGGGACTATGAGATTGAGTTTGAGGCTGAAGTCCTGGAGAACAGCATTGAGATTAAGTCGAAACGTGTGATCCTTGGAGAACACAAGAACAAGTATAAGAACTCGTTGGAATTGAAACCAGGTGGCAAGTACGAAGTGGATGCTACGGTTGTCTATAACGTCAAACCTCATAATATCGATATGTCTCTAGATGCCGACATCAAGCTGAATAACAAAAAGGTCAAGGCTGACACCGGGTTGCAAGTTAACCCACAAAAGGTTAATTCCCATGCCCAGATTACCTTAGACAATGTCAAATATGTTGACTTCGTGCTTAGGGTCCAGCGTGGTAACAATCCTAAAGGGAATCTGAACCTTAACTTGAAGAACTATCTGACGGCGGTGGGGCAATTCAGTTTCCAGAATGGTAAAGGCAATGCCAATTTTGACATTGACATCCCAAAGATTAACAGAAAGATCAAAGGATCTGGAGACGTGTCCATCACTGGCACCCGTCATGCAGCGATCTTCGAACTCCTTTATGACGCTGGAAAGGATCCCAATAAGAAAGTCAAGCTTTCTACGGATACAGATATTTCGAAAGAAGTTATTGACACGAAGAACATTGTTGAAGTACACACGTATAAGATCGAAGTCAATGCAAAGTATACTCATCAGGGAACCCTTACAGATGGGAAGCAAACATTCGCTGCTGATGTTACCTTGCCAAATGGACGATACATTGTCTTTAAGGGTGATCGTGCGGTGACCCGTAAGAATGACAAATTTGACGGCCATGCCAATATCGAATTGACCGATTCTATCACTAAAGGTGGCCAATCACGAAAGATTATCTATAATGGTGAAGCTCATAATTTTGATTATGAAACGAAGACATACGATGGAAAGCACACGTGGAAGCTGATTAATTTCGATGGATCCGATCTTGATGTGGATGTTGTGTTGAAACACCTTCCGAAAGGAACTGATAAGAAGTTGAGTGAGGTTCAGGTTGAATTGGGTGGGTCTTCGATTCCCAAGAAGTCTTCCGTGCACGTGCAGGCCGAGTATGGTGCTGGGGTTGGGGAGTGGACGATAAAATCATCAGTTGGTGATAATTTAACCCTCCAGGTATACGAGTAATGATTTATGTATATTCTACAAAAAGTCTCTTTACGGGTACAGTTAGCTTTACAGAAAAAGTCTTAGATTGCTTCTGAAATATACACTGACAAAATTTACAACAAATATTATTAATAGAACAGAATTTTCTTGATTCATTTTTAAACTTTTAGTGTTAGACATATATTAAGTACTATTTTCTGACTGTAATCAACACGTCACTTATCAAATGATTATAATTTAACAGTAACTTGGTTAATCTACTCAATGGGATTGCAAAACGGGTTTAAATATTAAGAATGGAAAATCCGACATTGTCACAAAAAAATGTAAATTAGTTTATATACTTATATAAATGAGTTCAACTGAAAGTATGAATATTTTTCAGGGAAATGGCAATTTCGTTCGTGGAAACAACGTTGATAAGCCTTCAACATTTGAAGCTACTGTCGACGTGAAAATACCGAGCGAGAAGCTGAAGAACATAAAGTTGCAAGTTTCAGATAGTTTGTTGACACCAAAGGAAGTTGGTGGTGTCTTCGATTACATTCAATCCTACAGCGTTATTTATAATGACGATCAGGCATTGAAACTTGATTCACACATCAAACATCTTGGAATCGCTGATGCTGAACACAGTAGCGAGGGGACAGCCAAGGTTGCTATTTCAGTCCTGAACAATCCTCCCCTAATTATTGGAAGTACCTACAAACATAATCCACTCGGTCAGACCAAACAAGAGTCTGCATCATTTGATGTCAGCTATGGCGAGAAGAATGTTGGTTTGGAGTTGGACTCTAACTTCCTTCCTGATCTCTCGTCTGTCAACATCAATGCCAAGGCCACTACTCCAGTCGACAAGTACCGCAGAATTGATCTTCAATTCAGTCATCAGGTATTTGTCAACTTCTATAATCACTAGACGTTCTACTTTATCTTTGATATAAAAGCTTCAAGGTGAAGTGAAACCCCCTTCAAATCAGTCGATTCGAATACGACACTTTTTTCAAAAGGTATTAGACCAAACTGTCTGAAACTTTGACACATCATTCCTGATCATCTAAGAATTGTCTTGACACATTCAAAATTTGGATTTTTGGAAAAAATTTTTTAACAGCCCAGACCAGAACCAAAATGGCGTTGAGCTCTCATATTTCGATCAATATACAATTGTCCAAGGCTATGATATGAAAAACGAAAGGGTCAGGACAATTTTACGACAATTTAAAACACTCTGGTAATCGATAAACTCGCATTTGAAATAAAGAAAACAAATTTATAAAGAATACGTTTATGCCAAGTTTCGTCGAAATCCATCCACTGCTTCTATGAAAATTAATATAAAAATCGAATTTTCGACAAACTTTGAGGGGTTATTTCACCCCTTAAATGTGGACGATTGTAGATAAAAAAAAAACACGTGTCTCTTAGAATTTTGTGTTCTTCAACATATATGAAAATCAATAAGATCAGCGGCGGACACTTGGGAATGTTTCCTTGTTAGGATAGAAGCTCATAAGACCCCTTTTTTTCTTTATCACGTTCAAATATGTGTTTTTCGATTACAAGAGTCTTCTAAATTGTTGTGAGATTTCCCTGACACTTTTATTTATCACATCAAAGTCTTCAATAATTGTATATTGATCGAAATATGAGAGTACAACCCCATTTTGGTTCTGGTCTAGGCTAAGTCGGAAAAATCTTGTTCAGAAATCCAACTCTAGAAAGTGTTAAAATATTGTTTAAATGCTTACGAGTCATGTACTGAAGTTTCAGCAATTCAATGGAATACTCTTAAAAAAACGTGTTTTGTTAGTATTGACGGATTTGAGGAGAAGCTTCACTTCACCTTTAATAAATTATTAAACATTTTTCCTGATTCATTAAAATAGATTCAAGTTTCTCCCTTATCGACGTAGGTAGGATTATTTGATTAGAGGATAGAAAAGTCAACTGCTCTTTAGTATGTATTCAAAATCCATTGTAATATGCTAAGTAGCCGCACAATTCAGGCATCTACTTCTAATCATTACGAATGACTGTCTTATTTATTATTACCCTAGTAGTATACAATAATTTCTAAATATTTCTTTGTAATTTTTGCTAAATATCTCAAGCGACAGATTTTTTAAGATTTCTTGTAGATTTCATTCGAAGACATATGAAATATTTCTTGAAAATCTCATGACATATTTTGTTTCAATAAATTATAAACATAGAGAGACATTATATTTTTTAACCTATTAACATAATAAAAATACATTTTTTACTTCACGATTATTATCGGACACTTCATTTGGTAGCAAAGAACACCAGAAATTTTTCTAATATTTCCGTTCCTCTATTTCATTATGGGAGCAAAACGTGTGATTGTGATTTTAAATATTTTTAAAACGTTTATAATGTATTCGGCAGATAGTATTTAAAAAATACTTGTATTAAAATGAAACGAAATGTTTTATATATCTGGTAGAAAAATATTATGAACACACACGGAGGTAATATTATATAAATATTATAGAGATAATATTCTAAAGTAAACGTTTTGCAAATATTTCAAATGTCTGGTAAATATTTACGAAATGTATGATATTTGTTAAATATATAGAAAATATACGACAAATATTTTGTGCTACTAGGGTATTATTTATTTTTATTTTTCAGAGGGAAGATAAAGATAAGCATAGAAAGACTAATGCTGTTCTGATCGTTGACGGAACCCGGTACACCATTGATAGTGAAACCAAGTCTCATGAAATTTCTCCAAACGTTGACATTATTGACTACATGCACATTGTCTTTACCTGTCCTGAAGGAAAGACAGAATTGATTGCCAAGATTGATGTCGTTGGTCCCGGTGAATACAAAGGTGAGTTTTTACCAACTTAATGTTTTTAAAAAATAGTCGGTGGGAAATGGCTAGATTGACGGAACTCTTTTCAGCATAATAGAGGAGATTACAATCGGTCCTGAAACGCGAATTCTACGAGGTGAAGTGACGATTGACACCTCATGGCCTAATATCGACTTAACACATTCGCAACAACTGACATGAATTCACGTCTTTTCAAGTTCTATTCCTGGTTGCCGCTGACGTGAATCACGTCCATAACGATACACGATACAAGTTTGCGGCAATCAGTTTCAGAATTTCATTATTTCATATCGCCGGTAGTCAATATTTTAAATGGAAAAAAATTTGCCGGTCGCGAATGTGTTAAGGCTGACTGTCACTTGTTATCGGATCGTTGTTTATCGTAAGAAATCAAAGAAAGTCGGTTCTCGAAGAAGGAAATCGTTTTCACTGATTTCCGAGTGAATAGCCCTTCGGGTATATATCTGAATGTACCTAAAAAATTGTGGATGGATACCACAAGGACCTAACAAGCTTCAAAATGAACTATAATAAAAGAAGAAACGAAAAAAATAATTGGTTCGATGCATTCATTTTTTGTTACCTCGTTAAAATGGTATTTCCGGTTGAAGGGATTAATTTTCTGACTAGTTTTCAACACTGTAAATTGGCCCAGATAATCCAAAAAATTATTCAAAATTTGGGGGTAGGGATAAACGAATCACGCCGTACTCTGAGTTATTCAATGATTTAACTATAATATTATCATGTAATAAAAATGATTATTATAATTTCAGGTGAATGGAAGCTGGAATCGCCAAAGGGCTTTGTTGCCGTTGACAGTCACGTAAACTTGGAGAGTATTGATAACTTTGTCATTACCGTCAACTTTGACAGTGATAAGGTGAAGCATCGTAAGATCCATGCAGAAATTGCCAACAAGCCAACTGCCAAGGCTGGTAAAAAGATTATTGTTACGGTCACCAGTGAAGGAAAGAATATAGTTGCTGGAAGGTAATTTATTTCAAACACTACTCAATAATAAACTATTAATCATTTAATATATTAACAGTTGATCCTAACTTATTCTTTAATAAAATAATGTATGGCTTTGTAATTAACCCACTGAACACCAAACTTAACAGTTACGTAACTTAAAACTAACAAATAACATCACGTTTGTTACAATATAATAACCTAACAGTTACGTAACATAGAGCTAACTAGTTACATGCCATTTGTTACAATGCAGTAAAATACCAATTATGTAATATAGAGCTAACAGGTTACATAACATTTGTTACTATCATATCTACATAAATGTAGCGTAACTTTGTTACTCTTATCTTACCTTATGTTACTGTCCTAATATTACTGTGTATATGCAGCACATATTTGTAACAAAACGGAACTACATTGGTGCTGTCATTTATTTTATTATATCGTCATCGTCATTGCCATAATTCATTGTCAAATGTCATAAGATTAATATATGTCATATTTTGTTTACTACTCGTATGAAAAAATGTGACTTTAATTCATACGCGCATATACATTATCAGTCATTGTTTGCTAGCCGAATGAAATCCTAATTGTATTTAAATAAAATCAGATAGTTTATCATTACATAATTTCATTGAAAGTCTGATTTGTCATTTAACCCTTTGGGCGCTAAGTACTTTCGGCGTATGGGCGGATTTCGTCAGGGCGTGCTAGCGATGTTCTGTTATGCCGCGAAGGGTATTGGGGTTCTCCTCGAAGAATTTGTTAACTCCTTTTTGGCATTTGGATGTTGTTCTTTATTATGCACAAGACAATCACTGCATGACCTACGGTCCGACGAGCTCGGAGTCCGGAATAGGACTGACTGTTCTAAGTTCATGAAGTTACCCCGTAGGGATGATGGTTTCTGATTCCGTGGCGCCGGGCTCAACGGTTCTTTCCCATAGTCACCGGACTCCGTTGCCGCGGACGACGGGATCTCTTCTCACGACGTATTTCGACGCCATGCAGTTCGCAAACTCTCATGTATGCATTTCTAAATGACTCTAGACTGACGGCATTACAGTTCACCAAACGTCGGACGCACATATGCATCGACAGCGCTCAAAGGGTTAATATCTAACTGTTGTCAAGTACCAAAAAATAATTAAGAATAAAAAATTGTATAATTTTGGATAAAATTGCGTGATCTTTTTTATTAAATGTATGAAAAATTATAATTATTTTAAGGTATCAAACTATAACATTAATATAACATGTTACATAACATGTTACCTTGTCGAGTGGGAAATAATAACTAACATCTAACTTCCATGTTACTTTTATGCTACATAACATGTTTGCAATTGCAAGTTTCGAAAACGTAACATTTACCCAACAGTTATATAACAGTGTTCACTGCGAATGTATGTGTGTTTCAAACTTTGTGAGACGTGTCTAAATGATGGTTTAAAATGGAAAAATATAATTTCAGCACAAATTACAAGAAAAGAGAAGAAGATGGTAAAGTAATTGTCGAAGGTAATGGTAGTCTGAAGATCGGTGACAGCACAAAAAGTTCATCCTTCAAATATACTCGTCAAAAGCTCACGAAGGAAGCTGATGGTGAAGACGGGGTAGCAGTGTTCCTTAATACTAATTTCGGATCATCAGCTATTGTTGGTGAATTGAAATTGACTAATAAGGAGATACATGTACTCAACAGTTATTGTGAGCAAAGCAAAGATTGTGCTCACTTCAAGCTGCAATCAAATTTCGCTGTCAAGAGTAAGTACTTTTTAACCCACCTCTCAATACATGATCAAAAAACTTGGGGTGTCGAATAATGAGCGAAACGTTCCTTGCGCACTGAGCTTCAGCGAAACGGTATTGAGTACTTAAGGTGAAGTGAAAACCTCTTCAAATCAGTCGATTCGAATACAACACATTTTTTTAAGGGTATTAGACCAAACTGTCTGAAACTTTGACACATCATTCCTGATCATCTAAGAATTGTTTTGACACATTCAAAATTTGGATTTTTGGACAAAATTTTTTAACTTAGCCCAGACCAGAACCAAAATGGCGTTGAGCTCTCACATTCCGATCGATATACAATTATCGAAGGCTCTGATATGAGAAACGAAAGGGTCAGGCCAATTTTACGACAATTTAGAACACTCTGGTAATTGATAAACTCGCATTTGAATGGGATAAAGGCAAAAAAAGTGTTGTATGCGCTTCTAGCCTAAAACGACGGTAATACGAGGTCTCGGAGTGAAAATTTAATTGACCTGGACATCACAGATGGCGCAAGGTGTCCCTCTGCAGTCAATTAGGACCCCAGAAAGCATGAATCCAGAGAATTTCTAGTTTTACTTCGATTTCTTGATATTTATTATACGAAAACAACAGCTGTCGAATGCCATTTGGTACAATAGCCAATATAATTCGACACAGCTGTCGACATAAAAATGAACGTCGGCAACGTAGGCATTTGGAAAAATCTTCTTTATCGACGTCGATCAAGTTCAATTCACCTTAAGGTGGCGTGAAACACGTCGAGGAACTTAATCAACGTCGATAAAGAACATTTTTCTAAATGCCTACGTTGCCGACATTCATTTTTATATTGACAGCTGTGTCGAATTATATTGGGTATTGTACCGAATGGCATACTCCACCTGTCGTTTTCGTACAATAAATATCAAGAAATCAAAGTAAAACTCCAGAAATCCTCTGGATTCATGCCTTCTGGGGCCCTAATCGACTGCAGACGGACCCCCTGCGCCATCTGTGATTTCCAGGTCAATTAAATTTTCACTCTGAGACCTCGTATTCCCATCGTTTTAGCATAGAAGCGCATACAACACTTTTTTTGCCTTTATCCCGTTCAAATGCGAGTTTATCGATTACGAGAGTGTTCTAAATTGTCGTAAAATTGTCCTGACCCTTTCGTTTCTCATATCAGAGCCTTCGATAATTGTATATTAATCGAAATATGAGAGCTCAACGCCATTTTGGTTCTGGTCTGGGCTGTTAAAAAATGTTTTCAAAAAATCCAAATTTTGAATGTGTCAGGACAATTCTTAGATGATCAGGAGTGATGTGTCAAAGTTTCGGACAGTTTGGTCTAATATTCTTTAAAAAAAGTGTTGTATTCGAATCGACTGATTTGAAGGGGGTTTCACTTCAGCCTAAGATGATATGTAAAGCGCTGAGAAATTTAATCGAGGTCCATAAATTAAAATAAATCTATACTCTTTTTGGTGGTAACGTCATTTTGAATACTCAAGTGGTAACATAAGCTGGCGCTTCACGTTATCGACATTTACATTTATCTTGAAGTTTTTTACAGTCCACGTTAAGAATTATACAAACTGAAGCGTTCCATATGCCATTTCAGTAAAGTAATGATAAAAAGATCGATGTAACACTGTGAGTGCATTATTTTAACGACTGTTTAGGACCAACGTCGCCATCTGTGGCGACGATCTAATATCGTTAGAAATTGCATAAAGTAGTAATGGCTTTGATAATTTATCAGTTCTATTTAATATTAATAAAGAAAGATTCTGATAGTCTGGTACTTGACGCATCCCAAGGTTTCTACCAGGATTTGATTTGTTCGTTTAGCAATCTAAAAATTGATTTTTTTACAAATTTTGTCTCTTCAAAGAATAAAATCGAACTGCTCGAGGTTTTTCGAATTTATTTAACCACATTTAATGAAGAAAGTTTTCAACAATATTTTCATATGGTTAATATTTCCGATAATATCCATAGGTTATTTTAGCCTTATTAAATCCTCATGCATCTTTGCTGGTATGGAAATTTCCAAGGCAATTTGAGTTAGAACATAAAACGAATAATTTTTATAATCCATAAGGAATTCTTAATTGAATGAACTACGGGCATACAAAAAAAAATCATTATTAACAAAATAGCTGTGTTGTATGGTAAAAGAGAATACAAATAGTGAAAGTACATGCATCTGACTACATAATGCAGTAGAGACAATTGAAAGGTGCATACCAAATTTTAAGTCAATCTGATAATTAGTTCCAGAGTTAGGTACATCAGTGATTTAAATAAAGTTATTTTGGGGAAAATGCGTTTAATGTTCAAAAATAAGTTTTCACATACAATATGAGAGAAATTTTGCAGCTACATTTACTCATCCACCCATAGGCCGTAAAAACATTCTTCTTCGCTTTGTAAGTCTTCATTAAATGAAAGAAAAAAAAAATGGTTTACTTTCTAACCTAAACAAGGCCCTTACTACTAGAACTTGTGATGCCAAATTTGTTAATTTCATATTTTACATTATTTTAATTTAACCTCAGATTACATTCTTACAATGTATTAATTATAATCGGTTCGATCCATAATGTAATTTTGCATAGATATAACCTTATGTTTAATGCACATATAATACTAAGTGGTAATATATTGTTTACGTTCTTTAGGCGTTGCCAATGCAGACCACCAGTTGACCGTCGAAGTTGACCTGAAGAAATTCAATGTACCAGTCGAATTTGGTTTGAAGACCAGCACGCAAATTAAGGAACTGTCATTCGATCACACTGCAAGTTTGTACTTGCATTCCTCTAAGGACAAATCCCAATACACGTACCAACTCTACGCTCATCCTGGAGACAGCGGTAAGATTTATACTTTTTCACTTGTAACATCTATAGGATATATAGTTTGCAAAAAGATTATTAAAAGAAAAAAGACCTCTTGCGGCTGTAAAAGGAAACCGAAATGACGTAAACCGGAAAGAGCCCTGAACACATTTCAACTCCCACTAATAGCAATCTAGAGTTATGTACAGAAATTTGTGGGATCTACAGATATACAATTGCAATACAGTTATATTCAGGGCTGGGTAATTTCACGATTTTCGAGGTTTTTGACGTATATTACGTCAATCAAGTAGTTTACCGTAGAAAACCAGGAGATAACGTATCAAATATGGCGGACAAGACAGACGTAGGGCAAGCGGTATCCGCTAGGTTATAAATATCCATCTTGTCCATTTCTTTCATACCATAATTTACTTTTTGGTCTTCCACCTTTATATATTTTGATATAAATATTGGTTACGAATCTTACGGCTTCAAATAGCCGTTATCAGTCGTTATGAACAAACGTCAAATGCACATATATGTATTCATTTCAAATTTCCAAGGCTGATTTCGAATGTGCGCGGATTTGTGGATGCGTAAAACGCAATCAGCTTAATAGCCAATGAGAATCTCTCTTACAGGTCAATAGGTCAACTCTCAATGTTATTGACGATATTGCGCATGCGCTTCGCACATTTACTTTGGGATAATATACTTCGTGCCTGCGTAGAAAACTAGAGACGTATTATACGTTGTAATATACGTGTAGAAAATCACGTATATTACTTGACGTATTATACTTACCCAACCCCGATTATATTATTTTATTAGCGAGCACCCGCGGTATACTTCTAGCATATAGTCAATTTAGTGCTCGCCAAATAAAATATTGTTTTCAAATTTAGTTCCTAATTTTTCTATTTGGTTCGATATAATTTTCTAATTTTGTCATTGCTTGAAGGACGTAGGAAATCTTGTACGTACAACATACGTAAAACAAAACGTGCTGCTGTGCTCTGTAGTCTACCGATAACTTTTGATATCTAACGACGCTTCCGACCAACAAATATCGATATCTTACGCGTACAGAATCTCTCCTACCGACATTTGTCATTAACACTAGATTTCCGGATGTTGCGTATATACCTATTTTGCCGAAAATGAGTCAATTTGACTCAAACATCAAAATTGAGTTTAAAAAAAAATAAAATTTTATTTTAATGAAACTTTATTCAAAACAATTGTTACATATATATTCTGGAAGCACTCTTTACAGTACCAAATATAATATTTCTTTCGGAGTAGGAAGTTGGCCCTGAGACGTCTTTGAATTTGGTATGACCGGGAAATCTACCAGTATTTTTACCATCTTTCAATGTTTCCCATAATGTCCCATCAGCAGCCCTTTGCGTTGAAATTTCTTCATTATCAGATCTATCTGCAGGGTCTAATTCACTTTCGGTTTAAAAATCAGGAATATATCGTACTCTTTTTTTGCCAAGAGTTATATAACGATCGCTATCACTAGCACTGGATTCACTTTCAGATAGAAAACAAGCTCTTCTTTTTCTACGAGCCGTATGATGAAGATCTTCATCTTCACTGCTCGAAAATTCAATCCTATTACCTTGATTCTCTATTTCATATAGTTCAGTATCGGATTCGATATCTGACTGGTTTCCTCTTATTTGGGTCAGTTTTTTTCGCAATTCAAGATATCTTACATTTTTTGTCATAACAGCAACCCTTATCTAGAACTAAAATATTTATTTACATTTACGTAAATACATCATAAATAAAAATTCTGAAATTACCTTGGTACACAAAAATTCTTCAAAAATAATTTATAAAATTAATTTTTCTTTGTGTTACTAAAAGTGCATTATTCTCTTCGATGCCATAAATCGAAATGGAAGAACACAAAGAATTTTTTATCAGAGCTTTCATAAAAGCATTCAACAAAAAAGACTTGCAACAAATAATTTCACAATATTGAATGTGCAAGTTTGCAATAGATATCTAGTAAATTGACAAGTTTGAACATGAAAACTATCGCATCAGATTGTGTACAAAAAATGTCTGTGGACAAGAAATAAGTTACATGTGGGTAAAACGACCAACTTTAAAAATATTTAATGAGTCAATTTGACTCACATCCGACAAAATAGGTACAGCATATATAGATTTTTGGAACTAAGGAGGGGGGAGAGGAAGGAATCAGCATTCGTATACATTTCATAATTTTATTAATAAACAACATGTTTTAAAAAGTAAATTAGTTAAGTTTTTCTATATAGGTGTACAGAATCCCGTTGGTGTATGTTCAACCGTGGTTGACGCTAATACTGCAAATGTTTTCTTGTGCAGCTGCCATCCTGACTTTGCCCAGTCGCGAATTGGCTGTCATTTTGACAACTGATTGGCCTTCATCAAAACAAGGCGGAGCATACAAATTCGATGTCAGTCTATACTTGGATAGAAAGAACAAACCAACGGAAAAAACTACTCTAGCTATCAACGGTGACGTTAGTCTCCACAAAAATGCTGCTGCTATAAACGGCGAAGCGAAATTCACATATCCATCCCAGCCAAAGGTAATTGAATTTTTTTTTAAATCCTAAAATTTGCTCGTTTCATCTTATATAACTTTGACGATTAAATGATGGGAGGAAAATACTTTTCAATAAAAAAAGTACTGAACTCAGATTTAAAATACCAGAAAAGCTTCGAACCACATTTACTACTACTATTAAATTTTATAATTTGAGAATGAATTTTTATAAATTAATTAATCAAAGAATTTGTTTGTTTGTTGTACACTTTTTGGCTATGTTTAACCCTCAGTTGTTGCTCTATCTTATAGTGTTTTCAGCGTAGACATAAGAATGTATGGATGGAGCAACCCAGAGGGTGAGTGCATGTATTGGGTGTAACTCTTTATGCACTACTGCCATCTTCGGTTGGAGTAAACCTTCTTCGCGAACTAAAATATTTGGCGGGCTATTCAAATTCATTTATTAAACGAAGGGATATTTTCAGGATTTAAAAAGTACTTACAATGATTAAAACAGACGTTGCTTAAATTGACACACACAAATGTAACATGAAAACAGTATATTAAACGTAAAAGAAGTAACGAAAGTGTCAGTGGCGCCAACGCCTGTTTTAAATCACTGTAAGAACTGAAATAATTACATTAAACATTAGTTAAAAAGCAACATATTTATTAAGATAAAAATATTCATTATTATGAATGTATAAATATACAAATTCTATACAAATTTAATTTTTGTTATGAGATTACTTTCATGAATTAAATGCGATCTATAGATCGCATTTAATCCATTTAATTATTACAATTATTATAGTAAGAAACTACAAACTGTTCTTGATTTACACTTTACTCACAAACTCACGTTCGCAATTTAATACCCGAGGTAATCGAAACTTGTAAAAATATTGCCACTAATCTAGGTTAGGTTCACTTTGGTTCACTTGTCCCGATTATTTTTATGCGCATTTACGTTGCGCCTCCTGGAGTCTCTTGCTATTGGTTAGACAATTTTTTCTCTGTTCTTCTCTTTCTATTAGACTGAAAAGTCACGACCCCAGCGCTGTCTTTGCGTGGAGTAGATGAACTAACTTCAGCGTTACACCTCTCCCATAAGGAGTGTCGACCCCCTGGTAATGCTTTAATTCACCCATGCTGGCATCTAGCTTCCCGCTTGGTTACTATTTATTGGGTATCAAGCATCACCACGGGAACTGGGCTTCTATCAAAACTTCTTTGTCCTACGTTAGCGCTTGATGCTCTAAAAGTTGGCTAACAAACCAGAAGTGGGGGTAAAAAAGAGATGTGTTAGCCAACGGTATCTCACATATGGGAGGTAGAGAGACGCATATAGAAAGGCGAGTATTGGGGGTAAGATAAAGAAAGAATGCAATTCGCTATATATTGCCATAAGATTAAGAGGGATGGAGACACGATCATAGCGCCGCCATCCGTTGGCTAACATACTATTTATCCAGCATCAAACGTCCGTATCCTTCCGGGCTTCTATGGAGACTTCTGAATTCTTTGCCCTAATCCTCTGAATCGCGATGGTGGTAACACTGGTCTCTTCGTACTTTAGACAGTAACAAGGAATAGTATTCATTGACGGTAAGAAAGAAACCTACGCAAGTTTGAATACCATAAACATGTTAATATCAACGATGTTGTTGAAAAGGAAATAAAAATACTAGAAAATATAAGAGAAAAATTTGTTCTTTAACTGAAAATTTGACTAAGAAACATACGAGGGTTCAGTAATTTAGCAATTGAAAGCTTTAGAGTTATACTTTAACGATAAAATAGTTTAAGGGTTTGTTTAAAAAATATAATTGTTTTGTAATGTGAAACAATGAAGTTTAACTGTTCCTAAAGATGTATTATTTATTTAAAAAGGAATACTATTTTCCGTTGAAAAAAATAAATCAATAACCTATTATTACTGATCAATAAAAGTAGTTAAAATGATAATTATGAGGCTCCAAAATAATGACTAAATGGGAAGAATTGATAATTAAATGGTTTCAAGATGTAGTTGTTATTCGATTTCACAACTTGCGGATCTTTCTTCCTAGAAACACTAATACTATATACTAAATACATAAATACTAAAAAAACAAATGACAATATTTCTTTTTAATGTACATGTAATTGGTAATTTTTGTTTTATAGGAATTGTCAGTGAAAGGTAATGTGCATTATGGTGGAGATCACCTGTTGGATGCCAGCCTGGACGTCGACGTTTTTGCAAAGAAGTCGCAAAAGATCAGCGCAGTAGCCAAGCTTTCTAAAGTACAGCTGGCCAAAGGGTACAATGTGACAGGTGTCATTGAAGTCAATAGTCGTGGTCAGCAGCTCAAGGTCGACTTGAAAAATCACTTGGTTCTGTCAACGAATGAACTTGGCTTTGGAAGTTTCCTGTCATATACGGATCAGCATCAGAAACCAAAAACAGTTGGTGTATTCTTCTCTGCGAACTCGAAGGAATCTCATTTCTTGGTGCAAGCTCCAAACATAGAAGTTGTTAGGGCTGATACTACTTTGGAGTTGTCGAAAAACCTACAGAAAGTGGACACTGAAGTCATAGTGCTGAATAACAAGCCTATAGTCATTAACTTTGAAGCTCGTGACTTCAACACTTTCAAATATGCCTACTACCCAAAGAGTAAGCAAACATTTCTTTGTCATCATTGATAATAATTATATAATTTTCTGTTTTTGTTATTAATTCTTAATATTTAATCAGATGACCCTAATACCAAACTTACCGCGAATGGGCGAGTGGTGCTTGGACAACTTGCTGAAATTCATGCTGATGCATATAAGGATGGGACCAAGAAAGACCTGTTCCGTGCATTGGTGTATTTAGATGATAATAAGTTCCTGAAACCTGACTTCTCTTACAACAAAAATAATATCGTTGAAGTTGTTGTAAGTTTGTTGTTTTAGTTTATTAGAGATATAGTCATAATCGAGGTTAACTTTTTGGTCATACTCAGTGATCATTTTATTATTTCAGAACGCTTACCGTGAACACATCATTAACTACATTAAACAGCTGAAGGAAGTCGTACAAGATGTTGGAGAAGAAGTCGTCGTTGAACTTAAGGATCTTGTAGACCACTTAAAGAAAGCCCAACCGAATTTGAAGCCTCTTCTGGATTACTATGACTCGGAGTTAACGAAGCTTAAGAATGAACTTCATGCCGACCAGGCAGTCAAGGATATTCAGGCAGCTTTGTAAGTACACAGGGTAAAACATTTTATTCTTAGTGTTCATTACAGTGACTTCCATCTTTTGTGCTTTCCGTAAGTTATTATGAAACGATTATACTGATCTTAAGAGTCACAGAATTATGTCCCTTTTTGTATGGAGTATTGTATCAATATTGAGATTTACAAAATGATGTGTTCTTTTTTCAGCAACAAGTTGTTTGGTGGCATTATTACAGCAATTGTGAATACCGCGAAGCTCATGACAGAACGCGTCCAGGAATTGTTTAAGTCGTTCAATGAAATTGTGATTAAGGTGACTGAAGCAATCAAAGCCAGTTACCCACAGATTAAGGAATCTGTTGACAAGATCTTCAAAGCTGGCCTGAACGTTTTCGATGCTGTCCTGAACCTTAGCCTGACTTACTTCAAGGCTTTCTTGAACATCATCAACGAGCACCAGAAGGAACTCAACGAAATCGCCACGGTAGCTTCGGAACTCGTCCAAGATGTCGCCAGGATCATCTTCAAGGGGGCTGCTGACATCGAAAAGGAACTCAAGGACTTCGTTACTCTGCTCATTCAACAAATTAAAGCTTTGCCGATCTACGAATTTATTCAATTGAAGTATAGGGAAATCATCAAGTTTGAAGTACCACCTGCAGTTCACAATGCGGTTAAGGATGCAGTTGAATATGTCAAAGTCATCCTGCCTACTGAAGAACTGAGGAAACTCGTAGATGCGGTCTATGATTACATCTTGAAACATGTTAAGCACGAAAAGGTAGGTCAGGTATACTTGGAAGAATTTGTAAAGTAAAAGCTTACTTCATTCATTCGAATTAATTCAAAATTCATTATATAAATGAGAAAAATTGTTACATTACGATTGATTATTTCCAAATGTGATTTATCCACCGAAAGTTTCTTTGTTGTAAAACAGACAGCTTTTGTTTTAAAGTATGCGATCAGATAATTCTGCATGAAACATTGAAGGTATGAAGCAATATAAGGAGATACAACGCCGTGTAGTGAATTCGCCCCCACTTTGAGGGTCCAAGATCTTCAGATTTTTGTCTAACCTAGAGTCGAGAGCACCTCCTTGACGTAATTAAAATTTATCGTCTACTAGTTTTTATCACATTAAAAGCTACATTCTGTATATCGTACGCAGGTTATCGTTTTGCTTTGCGTACCTTAATTGCAAAATTAAAAGTATTTTAGGTCATTTACATTGGTAGGAAATGTTTTAGTCATGTAGGATTGAAGTTCCCTTATTTTCTGCAAGAAGCGCTCACAATGTTAGATCGGCGAAAATCTGAGATCTTCGATCTCAATTCTAGGGTCATCTTCTGTAGAACCAACCATAGCCATTATGTGAAGAGGGATTTAAATAAATTAAATATAGTGAAAATCATCTTACATAGACTGCAGTTACAAGTGCAGTGGAACAAGATTTGTTCTTACGTATTTTTATACGCCATAAAAAAAGCAGTTGTACAAAGTACTGAATTATTTAAGATAAGATTCTACAATTCTTTCGAGTGCTTTAACTTCCATCTTGTTTTCTTATAACAGGATCGTTATGTAGGAAAATATTTTTTGAATATTAAAGGAATACTATGTAATTTTCAGGTTGACGATGTATCCGAGATTAAAAATATTTATCGAAGTGCTGTGAACGCAATTCAATCCGTGGTGTCACTCCTTCAAACTCAAGCAACGACCGAAAATGTTTCCGGATTCTTGGAGGCACGAATACCATTTGACTTCAGTTTCGTGAGAAGAATTCCTGGAATTTTCTCGTTAAAGGTGTCTGTCTTCAATCTCCTGCGAAACCGAGAGTTACCGAAGATAACAGACTTGTATTACGCATACAGGTACAGTTCAGTTTCAATTTCTGGATTCAATTAAATTTATGAATTTCTCCAGTGATTCCTTGCTTATAAAGTGTCGTTTATTGACAATTATTACTATTGACACAGGTTTTAATAATATGTAATTGTTTAGGCCACCTCATTGCTTCACTGATATCTTCCCGCCCTTCAGTAAAACCGGATTCGTCATTAGTGGAGGACATTTCTTCACATTCGATGGTCGTCAAGTAACTCTTCCTGGCTCTTGTGATTATGTTCTGGCTCAAGACATTCAGGATGGAAACTTCTCTGTGGTTGCATCCCTGAAGAACGGAGTTCTCAACGGCATCACCATCACTGAGCCAAATGAAAGCATCACCATAAAAACAAATGGAGAGGTTAGTTTTGCCAATTGGTAGATCATTCTATTGAAGAAAATATATATCTTTTGCTTAAAGAATTATTTAAAGTTTATAACAATTTCAAAGAGTCTTAATTAAGTTTCATTAGTTTAAACCCACTTTAAATGTGGTCTATCGATGTCTGAAGAAGATTTTCATCTAAACGTGAATCTTAGCCTTTTGATTGTGTTTGACGAGTATACTCGTAATCAGGAAATGATTACTTTTAAGTTAATGAGGAGTATCTCCTCATTATTTGAGAAAATAAAATGTCTTTTGCTATAAAAATATGCAGGACCCACCAAACACACGTTACAGTTACATAACATTGAAATAAAATGATATGTAACGAAAGTTATTCGAAAGATACATTCATATTATGTCATATAGAATTATAATAATTCCGTAATAATGTTACAAATCTGTCAGTGTGCAGTTATACAATATCCCATCGATCACAACTCCGGTGTTAGCAAGCTCTGCCACATATATATTTAAGGCAATATAATTAAAGCATATTATTAAGGCAATATTCATTTTAGTACCTTTCCATCTTTTCTTTACAAATAACTTTTGAAACTTTTAATTAAAAAATAATTCAAATCGATTATGTAGATTCGAAATACAGATTTTTTCAGACAGAACAGTTCTATCTGCCTCAAAATTCACGTTGATTTCCTACTGTTTTAAGGGAAGATTTTCGTGTAATATTTATAACAAAAGAAACATAAATTTCTTTTTATTATGCAAACAGATACACTTTTCAATACAAAATTCCAGCTTTAAAAAATTAAATTAGATTATGGAAACGAGATCTGGCTTGATGTTCTTCTGATCATATTGAGCGAAATTAGGTACTAGACAATTGTATGAAGTCATTTGATTTTTTTTACTCTTCCATTATTTCTTGAAATGAAAATTGTAATTAGAAGACATTATGAGGGTAATTTATATATTTAAACGAGATAGTTCCAAAATTGACTAAAGAGTTATTTATTTTGCTTGCGTTAATTAGTTTGCATTGAGTGTAAAATGTTAATCGGCTTATTAATAAACATTCTTTCAGATCCTCATTAACGGGCAGCCGGCTGACTATCCTGCCAAAACAAACAACCTCCAGGCCTTCTTAACAAGTCCAACAGTCAATGTCAAGTCCAGCTATGGAGTGCATTTGATGTGCAGTGAAAAGTCGCCACTGATTTGCAGTATTCACGTATCTGGCTTTTATTTCGGCAAATTGCGCGGAATTCTCGGTGATGGAAACAACGAGCCTTGGGATGATTTTACTCTACCTTCCGGGAAGGTAACACTAAATATATTGAAATATTTATTTCACCGCATATAAGAAATCATTGTTAAGCAAAAAAATCACTATGACGTAGGTCACGGAAAACGAGGCGGAATTCGCAAATGCCTATAAACTGAATCCCGGATGTCCCGATGCAGCAACACCACCTGATGACGCCTCACAACGTTCACCAGTATGCACAGAATACTTCTCCGGAAGTTCTCCCATGAGGTATGAGCTATATTGTATCTTGAAGTCATTGAGAAGTGAAACAAAAGTCGCTTATATATTTCGAATTTGCCACTTGATCGAGCAAATATATATAAATATGAAAATGAGGTGCTATTGTTGATTTTTGCTTTATTTAGTGGCTGCTTCAACTACGTCAACCCGGCGCCATATCGCCATGCTTGTGATCATGCCTCCCAAAGTTCACCGGAAGGTCCTTGCTTGATTTCCGTTGCTTATTATGGTGCTTGTTTCGAAGCTCGTGCTCCTATCAGTATCCCTCCGGCGTGTGGTAAGTTCTTGCGGTTGTACTATGAATAATTATAAATAATTAATCCAGTTGATACTGAAATGTCGTTTCCGCGTCGATAATTTAATAACTTAAGGTATTCAAGTGCAAAGGGTTAAATTCGTCATCAAGTTAATACATTCCGTACTATGTAGATCACCGGTAACCCACGTTGGGATTTTCGTTCAAGCTATTTAAGGTGAAGTGAAAACCCCCTTCGAATCAGTCGATTCGAATACAACACTTTTTTTTTAAGGGTATTAGACCAAACTGTCCGAAACTTTGACACATCACTCCTGATCATCTAAGAATTGACGTGACACATTCAAAATTCGGATTTTTTTAAACAAATTTTTTAACTTAGCCCAGACCAGAACCAAAATGGCGATGAGCTCTCATATTTCGATCAATATACAATTATCGAAGGCTCTGATATGAGAAACGAAAGGGTCAGGACAATTTTACGACAATTTAGAACACTCTGGTAATCGATAAACTCGCATTTGAACGGGATAAAGGCAAAAAAAGTGTTGTATGCGCTTCTATGCTAAAACGATGGTAATACGAGGTCTCGGAGTGAAAATTTAATTGACCTGGAAATCACAGATGGCGCAGGGGGTCCCTCTACAGTCGATTAGGGCCCCAGAAAGCATGAATCCAGAGGATTTTTGGAGTTTTACTTCGATTTCTTTATAATTATTGTGTGAAAACGACAGGTGGAATATGCCATTTGGTACAATACCCAATATAATTCGGACACCGCTGTCAATATAAAAACGAACGTCGGCAACGTAGACATTTAGAAAAATCTTCTTTATCGACGTCGATCAAGTTCCTCGGCGTGTTTCATTTCACCTTAATATGTTGACTATAACTAGAACTAAATTAACGAAATTCATCCAGATATTATTTGTCGGTACGCAATTATAATGTATATTACAATACCTGGACATGAGTCGCCGGTGATCGACGCAGCTAGAAAAACAAATCACATAAAACTGACTCGGTTCAAAACATGTTAATGGTTTCGCTTTAGTTCTGAAAAAATCGCGTTTTTACTCATTGTATTCCCTCGTATTATCAATATTCATTAATGCGTAAGCAGTAATAAAATTCCCGACTACTCCGTAAGTTGAAAAGTAATAAGAAAAGTTTTTCACTTTGATTCAATTTGGACATAATATTGAAATGAAAAAACAGAGGTTGCTGACGTAACTATAAAGATAAACGTATTAAAATTTTGTGCTAGTCTTACATAGTCTTGTTAGAGTTCACTTAATTTTAATTTAATTATTTCAATAATAAACGATTATTGTATGATATCTTAAATTTGATCATAATGAGTTTTTAACCATTTTTCGATGATTTTTATTCTAATTAAAATTGCATTGAAAATTTTGCATAAAGGCATTTGATAATCACAATAATTGTTTAAGTCCAAACATGTTTCATTTATTTTGGCTGTTTTTATTTTTTTCTTGCATCACAACTGATCAAGTATACACATAAGACTTTTAAATAACAGATTTTTCCTCTGGAAATTAATAAATTCTGTTTAATTTAAAGAATATCATTCTCTTTGTGAATTAAACATTATTTTATACTTTTTAGGCAAGTGTAAAGTCGGAAATCAGAAGATCGCTATCGACGATACATTCAGTGTCAAGATCCCTAACAAAGAAGCCGACATTATTTTTGTGGTTGAACAAGAACTCAGCAACGAGAAAATATACAAAGAACTAGTAATTCCCCTGATGACGGAGCTGAAAAATGAGTTGAAACACGCAGGATTAACGTAAGTATTGTTAAACGTATCTTTGCAACAAATTCATCCTTTCTAGAAACTATAAGAATCCTAAAGATATCACAATGAAGATATTACTCCAAATGACGAGGTCGATCTGGAAATTTTGAAACACTTTATTTACTTATTTCGATATAAAATTGTTTCAGAACTTTCTAACTGACCTAATAGACAGTACTTATATAATTTTTAGTTGAATGTTCAAAATGTTGAAGTTGATAAACCGAACAGTTTCAATAAATTCTATATTATATGAATTATGACAATGTTTTAGAAAAAAAAGATATTTAGTTCATCCTCGTTGAAACGATAATATGTGAGATTTCAAAAAGATTTTTCCTTGCAATCGAGAAACACTAACTATTTTAAATTAAATGTCGTCTCTGATGTATTATTTATGTACCTGAATTGCAAACATCGGATTAATTGTTCTGTTTCATTTTATTCTAATATTTATACAAAATGATAGTAAAGCGAAGTTCGCTTTTGTATTATATATATTTTTTTTTTTAAACGTGTAAAATATATATGGCAATGACATTTAGTTTATTTCTGTTAAATTTGTAACAAATTGTTTCATAGTTGTTGTACGTGAAAAAAATGAGATTCATTGGAAAATATTTTTTATTTTACATATTTTAAAAAAGACATGTAGTAAAAATTTAATTAACATTTTTTTCTAATTGCGATATTTTTTATCAACTTCAAATATTCTTCATCTATTATTTTATCTAAGTAATCATAAAAAATATTTAACAAACTTATTAATTGTTCTCTGTTCTTTATTTTCTTTACAGTTATTGTAACATGTATTACAGAAGCAATTTTAACACTATGTATAAGATTTGTGATGACGTTTTAATTAATAGACCTTTGCGTGAAGAATATTCTATTTGTGATAAAAATAATTGTTTTGATAATTCTACATTTTAATTTTATATTTATAGCGATGTCAAGTTTGGCCTGATCGGATACAGTGACAAGATGAAATGGCCTCAACATTACACCGTGGGTGGCAATCGAAACATCGAAGGTGAAGCCAAGAACATCGAGTTTAAGAAAAAAGATCCAATCCTTTCCTGGGAGGTAATATTATTATTTACCTAAAGATATTGATAACATTCTACTGAATCGAGAAATAAATAAGATTTATTTTGCAATTTTTATACATACATTGTTGTTACACTTGTACTCGGTTTCATAGGTAAATCCACAATTTGAAACACTAGCTTGATACTATGAAATAAGAGAATAATGCAATGAGTAGCAACAAGTTGAAGTACTGTTATAATTTATCGAGATTTTTTAACTTTGTATACATGTCGTTTTGCCGAAGTCGAATAATTGCTATTAATGCTCTGAAAGGAGCTAAATAGTTCAGATAAAACATGAATTTAAGCGAATTTACCACAGAAGGCATTTCTTGAAACAGTAAAACAGCAAGTTTGCGAATTCAGTAAATAATTATTTCATTTGTTTTTAAGTATTCAGATTTTTAAAATTATTTCCTCTTAAATACATTTTCAAGTTTTAAATGTCTTTTTAATACTGTTTCTGAAAATTAGATCTTACTTTGACATTCAGTAGGGAATTGAAAAGAATTTGAATTATCAATGACTTTTCAATCTAGATTCTGTTTTCCATTTCTTCAAATAAAGTGTATGCAATATTGTAGGCAAGTGAAATACATTGCATGATTGAACTCTTGAGTTAATAAGTCAAGATTTTGAAAAACTTTAACCGTTTACATAACATATTGAGAATTTGAAGAAGTATGATGCAACTTATTAATACCGACTTCTTAATGTATTTATTGACCTATTTATAATATTATCTAATAGTCATACACATTCATCGCTCTTTGAGATTTACGTTTGATCAGTGTTGCTAATTTTCCTTATTATATTTATTGCTTTTTAGGAGGTAAAGGGCGGTAAAGCAGAGGACAAATTGAAATATTTGAAGCAACGGGTGGATGTTGAACTTGGTACTTTCACATTGACCGATGCATATGTCGAAGCGATACGTTATCCGTACAGACCTGAAGCAGCCAAGGTTGTAATCGGCGTCCTTTCATCTCCTTGCGAGAAGACACCTCTTCCGCTTTCTGTAATTATGAATTTTTATATACAATATTTACGTATCTATCTCTAACGATATTCTCGCCGATTTATTGAATAAGATTGATGATGCAAAAAAGATACTCTAAGAAAGGAAAGTTGATCCCAAGAGAAAGTAATAATCATCAAATATTTAAGAAAGTTGCATAATGCAATTTGTCTCTCGTAGTTTACAGTTAACGGGGAATTGTTAAAGGAGAAAACAAAGCACAAACATTCCAAGTATTTAAGGTGATGTCAAACACACCGAGACATTCAATCGACGTCAGTAAAAACAATTTTTCTAGCTGATATACCATCTTAGACAACGTGCCACATTACCAATGTTTACGTTTCTATTGACAGCTACATTGTATCATAATAAGTATTTTACGGAATGGCATACTAAATCAGTCATATATCGTTTTACTAGATTGAAGAGATTGAAGTATAACTAAAGAAATTTCTTGGATTAGTGATTTTTAAGACTCCAATCAACTATGGCGCCATCTGTTGCATTTACTGGCAACTATATTGTGGGACTAAGACCACTCAGAACATGTGTTGTTCACGGGATATTCGACAATTTTACTGCACACATTAATTCTTTTTTCTATACTTCCCACGTGAATTTGTAATGTTCGATATACTATTAGTGATAGCGATAGTAGACACTATAAAGATAGTGCTTTAAATTGTTATACTTACGTCCTGAAAGTCTTTGTTTTCAATTTGAAGCTTTCAATGGGAGTAAAATATCAAAAACATACTTTTACGTTACCTTAACACGAAAAAATATGTGTTCCGTAACCACAAGTAATTAGTCTTGTGTTTATTTCTGCATTATTGTAGATGGACATCGAAATAATTCGGTTTTATTGTTTTCCTTTATTTATAATTATTTTTTGTGTAATTACGGTGCATACATGAGTTTCTTATTCAGCAGTTAGATACTAGGTAATAATAGGAATTATTACTTACGGAGTAAGGTAACAATGTGATTGGAAGTAACTCCTTGTTTAAGATATTGAAATTATATGAGGAAAGCAGTGATTATTAATAAATCATTGATTTCTTTCAGCTTCAACATCTTAGAATTTTAATGGGCCACAAAGTATACCAAGATCTCGGTCTCACGTATTACCAGATTTCACCTTTGGACGATCTCCAAGTATCTGGAAAGCCTCAGAAAAACATCGTAGGTTACGACTATGACGCTGCGTACACCTTTGCTGATGCTAAAAAGAAACCCATCGAAGGTAGCACTGAAATTAGAAACAACTTGGTTCAGCTTAGCAATGATGTCTGCAGTGGATTTGCTGTAAATGTAAGTTACCATTTTTCCATGTATAAATTAACATAATTTCAAAGTACCCTTCGAACATAGAGTTAACATTTTCATTATTTCTCATGAAGAATTCAAGAATATGTAGCATAAGAAATGCTAATTAATTCATGAATTTTTACGTACATTTCTTAAATTGTGTTTCATTTTGAATGAAATTGAGAATAACAAGTTTATAAAAAGTGGATATTAGGTTGGTAGTTTATGTAATAATGTCTTGAACGCGCATTTAATTTGGATGTGTACATAATGTAACTCCGGTTATATGTTAAGGGAGAGTGGTACATCATTTTCTCTGTGTGCGTTTTCACACCTACTTAAGGTGAAAACGGGGAAACTTCGCACCCAAAAATGTTTGTACAGGATATAATTTGAATGGTTGAAATGATAGCCTTCCGAAAATGTAATTTTCCCTGCGGAACCAGATTTTTCTATTATATGGCAGAAAAATATAAATAATGAGTCAATATCCGTACTGACAGCGCACGAATTTGTTATAACCTGTTCGTTGTACGCTTATGGCTCTGTTACACAGAACTACTAATGAAAATAAAAAAAGGGCCACGCTGGGAAAGTCATACACTCGTCAACTTCATACTATATCACTGGGAACCGCCGTTGAATAGCCGACACTTTTGGGTGCGAACGAAGTCTGCAACGAGGACTTTTACCTCGCATAAAATTTGAGCGAATTTCCACCATAAGCGCTAGTTGTACGTAGTGACGCCGTGCGCTGTAAAAGATGCGCAGTGGACGACCTGCAGAAACAGCCAGCTACATGATCGTACTTATTGGGGCCCTTGTAGAATTTTCCATTCGATGCAATTCATACGTCGCAATTCATAACGCATAAAACTTATAATTGTCGAGTTCTTTTATTCTGTAGTACAATAGACATCTGTTTTCTAATGAATTGCTTAGTAACAATGTCTTTATTTTTTTACGTGAGATTTATATGAAATTTTTATCGAAGCCCGGCACATTTTTATCGAAGCGATAACTTTATCCTATCTGTACTGTACCGTATTTGAAATATGCAGACGCATTTTTCTTTACCGATAGAGAACATTTCGCCCCTTTGAAAGCAGTTCTAGGGCGCTAGTCAGCCGTGCCTCACTTTTTACCATGGCGTGAAACATCTCCCCGCTAATCTCTGTACTAAGTAATTTCCAGGGTTGGGTAATTTCACGATTTTCGAGATTTTTTACGTATATTACGTAAATCAAGTAGTTTACCGTAGAAAACGTAGAAAACCAGGAGAAAACGTATCAAATATGGCGGATAAGACAGACGTAGGGCAAGCGGTATCAGCTAGGTTATAAACATCCATCTTGGCCATTTCCTTCATTCTATAATTTACTTTTAGGTCTTCCACCTTTATACATTTTGATATAAATGTTGGTTACGAATCTTATGACTTCAAATAGCCGTTATTAGTCGTTATAAACAAACGTCAAATGCACATATATGCATACATTTCAAATTTCCAAGCCTGATTTCGAATGTGCGCGGATTTGTGAATGCGTAAATCGCAATCTCCTTAATAGCCAATGAGAATCTCTCTTAGAAGTAAATAGGTGAACTTTCATTGACTATTGACAATATTGCGCATGCGCTTTGCACATTTAGTTTAGGATAATATTCTTCGTGCCTGCGTAGAAAACTAGAGACGTATTATACGTTGTAATATACGTGTAGAAAAACACGTATATTACTTGACGTATTATACTTACCCAACTCTGGCGGAAAGGTTAAAAAATTCGATTTATATACATTTTTTCTACCCGTTATTTGTTTTGCACTCATATTTTTATAATTAAGAGACATGGCAGCGTCTAGTACATGTTCACAGATTTTAATTCAGCCCTTTGTCTCTTTACTCTAAGTGTAGTTTTACCGCAAATTAATTTTTTTTAACTGTGATATTTTAACTGAATTTTGTATAACTGAGAACAGCAATGCTGCCGTTAAAAAATCATTTACGATTTTTATCACACACTGACGATTTTATTAATTTCTTTCCATTTATTTGAGACTAAAACCATTGCAATTTATGTAGTCATTCATGTGGTATGTCGATTTGCATTACAGTCTGGAGGTGCAGCATTCAGTTCGCACAACTTTGCCGAAGCCAAGCCTAATCAAAAGAAACAGTTCATCCAGGTTGTAGCAAGGAGGGTCACCGACGGTATTAGTAACGTCGAATTAGAAGAGGATTGTGTGTGTCAGCAGCACCACGGAATAATTGCTCGTGCCGAATGTAAAATTATTAATCGTAAAGAACAGCATGGTCGCTCTTCTTTAGCGGTAAGTTAGACTATTGTTAATTATATATATAGAAAATACCTTGTCTCGAATTCCATACTGGTTTGAACAAAGGTTGAACTGAAAAGGAAAAAATCATACGGCAAGCACAAATGTTAGTCGTAAAAACTGCATCAATAAAATTACAAATTATACATACAAAGCCATTACAGTTGTATTTTACAAGTTTATATGGTTGGCGATATTGCAAATTGTGTTCATAAACCACTGATGTGGCGGGTATGTGATCTTGTTGTAAAGATTGCAATGTGAGGTTCAATTCAATATATATATAGTTCATAAAATGTTGTAATAATACATATGCAACATAGATATAATGGTTGGGAAATGGTGCACTGAAATATTTTATCGTCATTGCAGCGACATTGTTTCTCTTTTTTATCAGTCATACATATTAATACACTATACGGTCACATTTTTTCCTATCTTCGTGAATTTTCTTGCTTCAAATATTATTATTGTTTCTGAATACACTTTTCACCTATATACCAAATAGTTTTTCATATGTTTACAAAATAAAGCTCTCTTTGAAGTTCTATAAAGTATTTTTCCATTGTTTCTACAGATCACGTTTATATGTTTTATTTTACAAATGATTATACTTCAAATTTTAATTCCTAGTATTTTATTAACAAAAATATATTTGCTAACATTTTGTATGAAAATAAATTTTAATTAAAATATACGTAATGGTTGGGTTTGTAATAAATTCTCTAGATTGTGAAATAATGTATAGAAATAAAATTAAAACCAAGATTCAAATAATATTAAAATATTTGTTAATGCTATTAATGGTTACTAGTAAAAATGATGGCGATTTTGAATCGTTAGTTAATAATTAAATGATTTTTCGATTATTTGGGTTTGTAATTTAGGACATTTTTGTTACAGCGGCACGTGCTAGGATTCGTCAAGGGTTGACGTGGACCGGATGAACGCGCAGACTATTATTACCAATTAATTAGGAATAATGTATTTGTTACTTTATTATAATATTGTTCGAGTCTTTTTGATAGTTTTAAGTCGGACATACCGTTCGTACACGCGATCATTATAAGTCGTATTTTATCCATTATGCGACTATTGTTAAATTTCAGCTGACTTCCGTAAGAAGTAAATGGTAAATTATTACGTTGCATCGAATATTTTATTTTGATCTGATATTATTTCAATAAAGAATATAGACTCGGCCAAAGCGACGGAGGTGATTTTTAATTTCTTTCTATATACTGTAATAGATGGGGTATTTTATCTCGAATCTACACTTGACAAATTAGAGCTCTGTGAGATCATTGCGCGAAAAGCTCGTACCCCGAATGGAGTCCCACGTTGGGCGCCAATTGATACGCACCGGAGGTACGAGAGGGCGCTTTTGCCTCAAAATCGCCTCCATGATGCTGATCGACAATCCACACACGGCACTTTTCCTACTGTACTGAGGGCGGTCCCAAAGACCTTTAGTCCGAAGTCCTAACCCGTGGACTTATTGTTCCAAAAACCGTCCAACGGAACACCGATGGCTCACTCACTCGCGCTCGATCCGGCTCGAAGAACCAAAAATGTTTATGCGAGGTTGTAGTATACCGTGAGGACGATATCCTAATCGAACGCGAACTCGATCGGGATAGAAGTTCTATTTATCGATCACGCGTGTGAACAAAGCCAACAAGTGTCCGTTTTACTGCTTTACGATCTAGCGTAACAATTTAAAGGTAATTAACAAAGAGAGGCTATCAAACTTTGATGAGCTTAGCCGAAAGTAGCCGTACAGAGTTAAGGAGCGTCCCGCGTGACGTCCTGAGCCCATCGAATCCTGCGATGAACTGGAGTTTTCGCTTTGTTAAAAAAGACGCTTGCCTTCGGGAGGGGAGCAACATCGTCGCCGAGCGGTTTTCCAGTTGCAGGGTAGTTCGCAGAAGTGCGCCCATAAATTCCCTGAAGAGGGTTGCCTAAAACTCCGTAGAATTTTTCGAACACGTCTCCGTCATCAAGCAATAAACCAGTAAAGAGGCATCGCTGAGTTTAACCCTCCTCGAGGACTCTCACTGATTTATCTTGGTCACTGGAAATAACTTATAGCCGCCCTTACCCAAAAGACAGCCAAATTCGGAAAACATTCGGGCAACATGTGCGGTCCAGGCGAACGGACTTTCTCCTCAAGACTCCGCGAAGCTCATCCTAAACAGGGCCTTCGCCGGAAAAGTTTGGCGCGGATCGTCCGTCGCGGCAAAGGGGTTCGCGTATCGGTTTCGTCGGCCGTCCGTCGCGTGGTTTATTCCGTTTCTCTCACGGCACACACGAAAGAGTTCGAAGGAAGGAAGAGTCTGCATAGGAAATGTCTCTTCACGCACGGAAGATCCGGGTTTAGTTTCACGGAGGCGAGAGGGGCGCGTCACCCCCGAGTCTCAGGAACGCGAAAGCGTAGTCCGCGAAGTCAGGTTCCACGACTCCCCGCGCGGAGAGGGAGAAGAGAGGGAGAAGAGAGGGAGAGAGAGGAAGGGGGGAGGTATCTAGGAAGGGAAAAAGAAGGAAGCGGTCGGAATGGCCACGGGTGGCAGCCGATGTCCCTTGCGTTCCCCGGGTAGGCCACGAGAGGGGTCTATTGGCGAAAAGAGAGACAACGAAGGGGTAGAAGCGGCCGCGAATTGCAGGCAAGGCCCCGTCCCTTCTTTCGAAAAAGCGCGAGATTCAAAGTCCTGAATTTCATTCCTGATGCTTTCATATGTCATCAGTATCGCGTGTACCGTTAAAGGTAAACCATCAATGCAAGGCGGTTGTTTCTTTGCTGCAGCCTTCACCTTTCATGTTTCAGACCACTTTACGAATTCTCGTAATGTCGCTTCTATTTGGGGATTTCTTGGTGACAATGGTCTTTTCGCTGGATTGCCGAAGAGTAGTTTATAACTGCAGCCGTCGGTAACGTTGTTCATTGTTTCAATCAAATGAGCCGTCTCTTGCCACGTTGAGCTACTTTTTTGTATGCCATTTGGATCATTTCCCGCCATTTTCATTGCGCTTGCGAATCGGTGGCTGAACAGTTGAAAAGCTCTCTGCACGTTCATACTTTCCCATGCATTTAGAGCCATTTGTGCTTCCGTGATGTGTGACATGTTGGAAGTCACATTTTCTCAATCATACTTCCATATTGCAAGGAAGTCATAAAATGCAGCAATAATTTTTCAATTGGCACGCAGCTCTTTACTCTGTCTAAGTTGAGCGACCAAACGTTGATAAGATGAGGAAAATCTTTTTGCTTCATTTGATTTTCCTCATCTTATGAGGAAAATCTTTTTGCTTCATTTGATTTTCCTCATCTTATGAGTATTTCACACCCATATATTTAAAAGATGGTTCTTGCGCTGTGACTTTCAACTGCTGCAGTAAGGCCTATTGATTTGAAGTTGCTTGATCGCATGTCAGTAATTTAACCATTACTCCAGTATTTTTTAATTTATCAAGACATACTCTGAAGAGGTATACGATATCTCCACCCGGCATACCATTTCCAGTCAGAAAATAGGCAATCGGTTGACACCATGGATTCCTGGCAGTTAAACCGTCGATACAGAAGGCAAATACATGCTTCGCTCTGTCATTTTTTCTGCCCAGTGGACCTAGATCGATGAGACCTTCAGCATTGTCCAACAATGATGAATATTCTTTGAAGCTTTTAATGGATATTTCGTTCCACTTCTATGAACACACTCTTTCCGTCGATGGAATCGCAGCAAGTTTTTCTTTTAACTTTTCGAAGATATTGTTACAAAATCCGGGTTGTATATCATATTCTGCAACCCAGCGCCTTACAGACGATACACTCGGAAAGTTGCAACCAGCTTGTTGTAGCCTTCTGTATGCTAAGGCAGAATAATAATAAATTTGCCTCGCCAAATCGTCCTCTTCCTGAGAATATACAGCATTCTTCTTATGTTGCTGTAATTTAATCATAGACCTTGCAACCGGATTTTCACATTTCTTTACATCCAATAATGTATTGACGTTGGTGCGACTTTTCATTAATTTTTGTTTTAATAATTGCTCTCGTTCGTGAACACGTTTGAGTCCTTGTCGGAGTTTTTTCGTTCTCTTCCTCAGAATAGCATTTTCTTTCCTCAACGTCCTTACAGTGTTGTTGAGTGTATCGGAAGTAGGAACATTTTTCACTGGTTTTTGGACCACATTACCAATCGCTCATCATCCAATCATCATCCAATTGCTGCGACGATTGAGCCTTTTCACAGTGTAACCATTTCATATTGTTATCGTCGTCGTCTTTTCCAAAAAATAGTTTCGTCGATGAATAATTGCGTCCGGTTATCCTTTCCTGTGGCAAGATTTCGTTAAAGGATTCATATGAAGTATCCCTATCTTGCAACTCCTGGTGTGGCACGTCTTCTGTTATTCCTAAACTTCCTTGTAGTTCGTGAATGTCGATGGTCAGCTGGTGAGGTAAATCTTGTTGCAGAGTCTTCGTACTTTTCTCTGCTTCTGTAGAACCATCATGTTCTTTTCCTTTTACCTCTTCGCAAATAGTTTTCTTCTTCGGTTGTTGTACATGTTGGGGAGTTTCAAGAGCGGCTTCATCCACATTATCTTGCAATATCATTTCATTGTATGGTACCTGGACCATCGACGAAACTTTCTGCAGTAAAATGCTCTGAGCATAACACGGCCTTAGCGACCGTTTTTTTAGACCAAGTTTGTAACTTAATATTTCCTGAAAATGGAAAACAAACACGATATTACCACTGAAAATAAAGTGTTATACAAAATATCATCCAAAATGGTCATTTTATGCAACATTAAAAAGCATTATCAAAATATTCATAAAATATTTCTCAATTGAACATATCTGTTACCTGAAAATCGACTTCAATAAATATTAACTAAACAAAATTATTCACTAAAATAAATATTAAGTTGTCACTGTCGCTTTAACGCTATTCTATACATTATTTTACAAAATTAAATTTTATTTTTTCGCTAGTTGATTACGATAACAGAAAATCTGTCACTTTTATGCTCTTTTAAACAATCGTCACATGTAAAGCCAAAAGCACCAATGTATAGAACAGTAATTCAGTGATTATTTCTGTAGTTGATGTTCAAAATTGTTATTTGGAATAACTTTCAATGTTATTTCGGGTCCATTTGATATAAATTCTCTACCTTTCAACAATTATTGTATAAAAACCGCAGAGCTTTTTGTCGAAAAATGTCCATGGTTTTATGTGCCCGTCACGGTACATAAAATTTTAATTCACGGCATTCAGGTAATTGCTGCGGCTCTCCTTTCAATACGGCAATTTTCCGACGAGAGTCAAGAAGCTCGAAATAAAGATTTTAGAAAGTATCTGATCTGCCCGGCTAGTTTGTCGGGCAGTTGTTGTATGAATCCCGATTGTTTTTGCAAGTAGAATTGCAAAATGGGATATTCATACAACTGCTAACGTGAAGAAGGAGGGTACCCGAATGAAGAGTGAGACTGTCGCGAATAAAACAACTTAAATTTATTAAAATATTAAATAGACGAATGACTTATTGAATTTTGTCAGCTCTTCACGCGTGAATAACTGTTGCAGAGATGATGGTGAAGGCTGACGAGAGACGTTGAATTATCGAGAGACGGAGACTGACTAAATACAGAATTCCTCCTCCGGTCGCATTACATTTTTTGAGGAGGTGGTAGCATATTTCTTGCATAGCGATTGGCTGACTGATTTTAACAAGGGCGGTTCAAATCGAATAGTCAGCCTCGTGATTGGTCGGTGGCTGTCCAATACGGTTGGGTGAAAACGGAAAATTTCTAGTTGCCGTGCAGATGGAAAAACATGCTGTATGCCCGTGTACATGTTGCGCGCACGTGTAAGCGGTAAAGTTAAAAAAGGTATGACGGTAAAGAATAGAGACGGTCAACCCGAGAAAATTCTAAAGAACCCAAAACCTTCTCGATGGGACGGACGGGACAATATAGCCGTATCGTAGAGAACTAAAATTTACGAACCGATTTCGGAGTCAGGAAATTGCTAAATTGGTAAATGGCCCGATGGGCCCAAGCAGGCAGTAAGTCCCTTTCTGGGAATTTGTTTGACATTTCAAAGTCCGCGATGAATGTACATACATGAGTGTCGCGCACGGAACAGTATCGAGAAGAATATTCTCGAAAATCATTATGGAAAGCCTCTGTAGTAACCAGAAG